TACTAGAACCTTCTGATATTTACCCTATGTAAAATCCAGTTTTACCATTTCATTTATTAGATATTTTAGTCCTAATCAGTCTTGACCTGAATTCTGATTTCAATGACATTTGTCCTAGAACAATCTAGAAAATTTCAGCATTAAGGTTCCTAGGCTTGTTTCAATATCCTTTTAATTTTGAAATTAAAACTTAAACTTAAGGGCATCTAGGGTAATTCAAAGAAATTACTCCTAATTAATAGGTCCACCTAATTAACCTTAAACACTACCAAATAGTAAATAACAAGAACTAGAATGAAGATGCAAAGGAACCCTAGAAATTAACCTAATTAGTTTGCAATTAAAACATTAACTAAGGCTAAGGTTTCCTAATGACTAATCAGAGATTGGACAAATAAGTTGAACTCCTAAAACTATTCTAATCAATTTAAACTAAACATTGAATATCAAACAAACGAATATAGGAGAGAAACAAAACACAAAAGAAAACAGAACAATTAATTTTATCAAAACACCTAAAAAAATTAACCTAATTAAGCTAACCTTATGCAATTGAAATTAGACTTCAAATACTGAAATTCTAGCATGCTTTAATTAACTTAATAAACAGATGCAAACGAACAAACTGAACGGTCATGAAAAAAAAAAGAAAAGAGGAAACCTAGAGTTGCGATTATCTAAAACATGCGGCTAAAAGAAAGAAAGAAGATGAAGGAGATAAAAAAAAAGAAGGAAGAAAAAAGAACGGAAAAGGGATTACCAAAAACCTGCTTTGAATTTGAGATCAGTTATGAACTTGGACAGCTTTAGTAGGGTAAAATGAGACGACCATTAATCGATTGTTCTCAACAAGAACAGTCGACTAATGGAAGTCTTGGGTTCAAAACCCAGAAATTAACCGAAAATCATAAATGGAACAAATTAGGGTTTGGATTTCAGATCCAAGATTCGTGCAGTTTGATAAAGATTTGAGGGAAATGGTTTGGGAATTTGGAAAGGGGAGGGAAAGGTGGTTATAGGGTGTTAATTTGAGGCGGTTTGGAGGTGCCCCGCCGTCGTAATACGATTTTCGGGTGGCGGAAAGAGGCGGAGCCGGCGAGGGTTATAAGGGCGGCTAGGGTTATGTGCTTAGCGAGATGAAAGACGAAAGTGAAGGGGGGTCTATGCAGGGGGGGAGGGGGGGGTCTCTGATTTCGGACACTTTTATATAAAAAGATCGATCAGTTCCCAACCGTTAGATTCATGATGATCAACGGCTGAGATTAAAGAGGGGTCAATACGGGGTCATTTTAGGGCTAAAGGGAATTGAATCGGGTAGGTTGATATTTGGGCTTGGGTTTGAACGGGTAAAGGGAATTGAATTTGGGCTAATTAAAATTTGGCCCAAATTATCAAAGACCAAATCCTTTCCAATTTCTTTTTCTTTTTTTTCTTTTTCTTTCTTTTTTTTTAATTAATTAAAATCCTAAATTAATATAATTTGTAAAATTAAACTAATTATCTATTTATAATATTTACAAAAATTAGTTAATCCTAAATTAATGAAGAGGAAATTACCAATCTAAAATTAAAAGCTAAAATGCAAAAATGAGCAAATTATTTGTGATTTTTTCGTTTTGATAAAGCAATTAATTAACTAATTAATCCTAAAATATGAACATAAAGTCTAATACGCAATGCATGATATTTTTGACTTTTTTTGGGCATTTTCATGATTTTAACAAAATTAAACGTGCACCAAAATGCAAACAATTAACTAAAAAATTTTACAAAAAATCCTATAAAAACTTGAAAAACAATTTGGAAAAAAACTCTAATTTCTTTAAATTTTTGTAGGTAGTATCTTTTAGTAGGGCAAAAATCACATGCTCACAACTGCCCCTCTTTGCTCGGAAACTACGAAGAGTTTTCGGGCTAAAAGCTAAAAATGAGCAATTATGAGCGATTTTTGCCCATTTGAAACTCCATGGGAAGCATTTTTGGGAAAAGCCTGACCGAACCTTGCTTCGGAGGTTGCCTACATATCCTTGGCTATAAAGGAATCAGGTCAGTGTAGTTCTGGAAGTTTTGGTAGCTGGGACTACTGAGAAACTGTGATTTCTTTGCTGTTGCTGCTATTTCTGCTTGCTGAGCTCCTTATTACACCAAAGTGAAAGATGAAAAGCTAAACTAGCTAAGCCTATCAACTACGAGTTACAAGATTCTTATATGTAAACCTTCTAAAGCTTGATCTTGAGTCTTGGGCTGGTTCTTCCTTCAGACTCTAATCTGAATCTTGATGCTCGTTAGCTGCAACCGCTGGTTCATTCTTCTTCAGCTTTTCGGATCAAGGCGGGACATGCAAGGCTTGTGACTTCAATCATATCTTGAGCAGTCCGCATCTTTTCTCCGCTTCTACACATAGAGTTCACTTCTTTTCTTGTTCTTATTTTCTTTATTTGGATTGAGACTTCTTCTTTTGATCATCTCGAACCTCGTGCCTCACAGTAGAAACCTGTTCATACACCAAAACAAACAAACGAACGGAATTTTTCTGCCCCAGTTTTTACTAGAAAAATTTCGTGAGTTATTGAAACAAAATCTAAACTACTTCTTTATTGAAATCAATAAAATCAGGATTGTGTGTCCTTGAGAAAAAGAGATTAGGGAGTAGAGACCCTATATCTGAAATGAAATCAAACAGGGATCGGAGGCCCTAAGTTGGAAAGATTACCATGTTATGCTGGCATCAACTAGGGAGTGGGACCCTATACTAGAAAAGACTACCAGGTTATGCTGGCAGAGTCATCGGGTTATGCCGGAAAAAGTCTTCTGGTTATGCCGGGAAAGTCATCGGGTTATGCCGGAAAGGTCCTCGGGTTATGCCCGGAAAGTCATCGGGTTATGCCGGAAAGATCCTCGGGTTATGCCGGGAAAGTCATCGGGTTATGCCGGAAAGGTCCTCGGGTTATGCCGGTCAAGTCATCGGGTTATGCCGGAAAGGTCCTCGGGTTATGCCGGGGACGTTATCAGGTTATGCCGGAAAGGTCCTCGGGTTATACCGGGGAAGTCATCGGGTTATGCCGGAAAGGTCCTCGGGTTATGCCGGGAAAGTCATCGGGTTATGCCGGAAAAGGTTCTCAGGTTATGCTGGGAAAGTCATCGGGTTATGCCGGAAAGGTCCTCGGGTTATGCCGGGGAAGTCATTGGGTTATGCCGGGGAAGTCAACGGGTTATGCCGGAAAGGTCCTTGGGTTATGCCGGGGAAGTCATCGAGTTATGCCGGAAAGGTCCTTGGGTTATGCCGGGAAAGTCATCGGGTTATGCCAGAAAAAGGTCCTCGGGTTATGCCGGGAAAGTCATCGGATTATGCCGGAAAGGTCCTCGGGTTATGCCTGAAAAGTCATCGGGTTATGCCGAAAATAACTAGGGGGTGGGACCCTATGTTGGAAAGATTACCATGTTATGCTGGCATCGACTAGGGAATGGGACCCTATGTTGGAAAAAACATAGCTAGAGATTGGAGACCCTATGCTACCATGGTTTTGAATTTTTCTTCTTCTTTCTTTTCATTTCACTTTTAGCATTTTATTCAGGAGAATGCATGAAGAGTTTGAAAGGGACTTCCCTTTTTTGGGTTAATTTTTGCTGCAGGATCGTTCTGGTCTCTGCGTACCTCGCTTTTATTGCACCTGCTTCTTGTGAGGTTGTTTTGGATTGTACCTATTTTCCTGTTTTCAAATCAAAGGACAATTTGTCAGTTTGAAGTTTCGCATTTGCGAAGGTATTGGTTGCATTTGCGATCATGGCAGAGTTGGCCGATCTGCGCATTTGCGAAGGTTCGTCGCATATGCGACCTTCGCATTTGTAAACCTTGTGTCGCAAATGCCACATCTGGAGCCTGTGCACATCTTATTAAATGAGGGACTTAGTCCATTTAACTCATTTTCTTTCAACTCTTGGGCGATTTTTGGAGCTCTTGGAAGGGGTTTTCGCCTAGAACGTTGAGGTAAGTAATTTCTACCCAACATGAGTTAAATACATAGATTATGGGTAACAACTTTCTTCGAAAAATTCCGGAATTCAGGCACGTGGGCCCGGGGTGAATTTTAGGAACCTTACATTTAGGGTTGGGTAATTACTTCAATAGTTCGAATATGAACTTTTGAACTTGTATTGATTAGTTTATATACTATTTTATTAGTTTTAGATTTTTCGGCACCGAATTGAGGGTTTGAGCATAATCTTGGATCGAAAAGTGGGCTTTGAGGCGAGGTAAGTCTCTTTACTAACCTTGTAAGAGGGAATTAACCCCATAGGTGAACTTAATTAACATGTGTTTCAAATTGTGGGGGGCAACGTACGCACGAGATGACGAGAGTCCGTACGTAGCTATTATTCATGCTTATATCCGGGTAGTTTTAGGTTCGCACTATGCTTTGTTGACATCGTTGTTTGATTATGCTTATTAATTACCTTGAATAGAGTTGAGATAGAGGATTTCAAGATGATTAAAAGCTTCTAGTTGAACATTTCTTGTTTGGAATGAATTGAAGAATATTATGTTAACTTGACATTTTTATGTTCAACCGCGTTGCAAGTATATTCTGCGAGCGAGGTAAATTTCTACTACTCTCATGGGAGAAGGCCGTTCGCCTCGGCAGGTTAATAGATGCATGTATGGTTCGTGTCGTTCGACCCTCGACATAATTCGTGCGCAATGATATTGGAAGCCCTAAAATTTAATATTGTTTCAATGGTTTGAGAGGTTAAGCGGTAAGAGGAGGGAAATGCCTTGGTTTTTATTTATGATAAAAGGATTGTTTACGCGTTTCTTGCTCTAGGTTCTATTATCATTTTTACATACCATGTTTTAATTAGAACTTCACATTATTATATTGTTGGCCCATACTAAGTGTCGAAGTCAACCCCTTGTCACTACTCCTTCGAGGTTAGACTAGATACTTACTGGGTACATGTTGTTTATGTACTCACGCTATACTTTTGCACTTAATGTGCAGGATCTGAGGCAGGTGCATCTGGATATCAGTCCGGCGCGCACACTTGATTACCACTTCGAGGCTTCACGGAGAGCTGCCTTCTGAGCCCGATCTGCAGCAGCCGAAGTCTCTCTTTTGATTGTATTTTCTGTCTATTTCTTTTTGGACAGTAGACTAGTATTCTTTTGTATACTCTACTAGATGCTCATTGTCATGACCCAAAATCCACTAAGGGTCGTGATGGCGCCGGACACCACTGTCAGGCAAGCCAACACCATTTAACTAGTAAATTCTCATTTTAATATTTCAAAATCATTTCCGCTAAACATTAAACAATGAATAATAAACTTCACTGAATAAATAATGATGTCTTTACAAAATTACCGAATAATCCCGAAATTATCCCAGAACCCGGTGTCACAAGTGCATGAGCAATTACTAGGAAATCTAATAAAGTACAATAGTTGTACGAATACAAACTTGGACAGAAAGTAAATATAATACACTGAAAGAGACTCTGTTGGCTACGGGTCGTCTCGAAAGATGCAGCTCACCTAAGTCTCTGTATCATCCATGCTGCTACGTCCATTAAGCCACTAGAGGTACATGTGCATGTGCAACAAAAATGCACAGCAAGTGTAGCATGAGTACAAAAACAACGTGTACTCAGTAAGTATCCCGCCTAACCTCGAAGAAGTAGTGACAAGAGGTCGACTTCAACACTTACTAATGGTCCAATAATATCATTACAATAAAGAAGTGAATAAGTATGAAACAGGGCAATTATATGAAATAAGCATGTATAAAACACGTAGTAACATCCCCCTTCTTCTTTATTTTACTCAAGTTTTTAACTAGCAAGTTCCCTCTGTGACTGGAGCACATATATAGATAGGTGGATTTCCTTAAAGAAGTTGTCATAATTCAAAACAAGGAAAAAAATCCCCCAGGTTCACTGGCTTCTAGCCAAATGTCATGCACGATTCCATGAGAGTAGTATATATATATATATATATATATATATATATATATATATTGGAAATGTGGAGGCGTACGGCCCGATCCAACATAAAAGTAAATTGTGCACTGCCGAGGGTCGAACGGCACGAACCATAGATGCATCTATTAACCTACCGAGGCGTTCGGCCCGCTCCCATGAGAGTAGTAGAAGTAAATACCCCGCTCGCGAATCATACATGCGATGCGGTCAAATATAGATTTAAGAAATTTCCCCGCTCGCGAATCATACATGCGACGCGGTCAAATATGAATTTTTAATTAATCAAAATCCTTTTCTTGATTCTTTTCAAAAATAGAGACAATTCGACGTGAATCTTTTAGGGTAATTTTTCTCGCTCGCGAAACATATATGCGATGCGATTTCACATAGATTCCTTAAGTTATTATAAGGTTCCTCAATTCTTTTCGAAAATACTAGGTTTAATGGAAACGCTTAAAATCTTAAAATTCCTCAATTTAAATTCCTTTCAACATAATTATTACGCAACGTCAATCCTATTTCTTCTCAAAGCAAGCAATAAGCATAAATCGACAACAGTATCAATAAGGCATGATGTAGCCTAAAAACTACCCGGATATAGGCATAACAGTAGTTACGCACAGACTCTCGTCACCTCGTGCGTACGTAGCCCCCACAAATAGCAGCACATATTTAATTACTTCACCTATGGGGTTAATTCCCTCTTAAAAGGTTAGAAAGGAGACTCACCTCACTCCGAAGTTACATAACCGGAATTCCACGCCCTTTCGATGACTCAAATCAATGCCGACGCTCCCAAAACTTGACATAGATGGTGAAGAAGGAGCTCCAAAATCGCTCCTAGGTCGCCTCCCATGGAGGAAATGAGATGAAATGAGCCAAACCCATTTTTTCAAACTTATACACTGCCCAGGCAATCCTTCTTCGCGTTCGCGAGACCCCCATCGCGTTCGCGATGAACAAAATTCTCAAAAGTCATTTCCAAACTCTTCTCAGACAGCCTCTATTATAATGGCCATAACTTTTCGTACAAAACTCCAAATGACAAATGGTTTAATGTTTTGAAAACTAGAGATAAAGATCTATAACTTTTGTGTGTTGGTCATTTCCCAACTCTTTATAGATTTTGAGATATAAGCTTCCAAAGTCAGCCCTGTGCAACACAAATTTCTTCTTCATCTTCCTGGACAGCCTATAGTGTACCAGACATAACTTTTCGTACACAAATCCAAATGCTAAATGGTTTACCTTTACGAAAACTAGATACAAAGAGCTACAACTCTCGTTTTTGAATCATCTCTAAATCCCTTATAGATTGTGAGATATGAGCCTCCGATGTCAAACCTGCGTAACAGAGATTTTCTTCATCGCAAACGCGAGTTTAGCTTCGCGAACGCGAAGAACAAAATCCCTAAGGCCAAATCCTTCTTCGCGAACACGAGAGTATCTTCGCGAACGCTAAGAACAACACCAGACACCTGCATCAGCTATAGCAAAACAGCCCGAAATGATCTGAAACCACCCCGAAACACACCCGAGGCCCCCGGGACCCCATCCAATCATACCAACCAGTCCCACAACATAACACGGACCTGCTCAAGGCCTCAAATCACATCAAACAATGCTAAAACCATGAATCGCACTCCAATTCAAGCTTAATGAGCTTTAAAATTTCAAACTTCTACGTTCGATGCCGAAACCTATCAAATCACGTCCGATTGACCTCACATCTTGCACACAAGTCATATTCGATATTACGGACCTACTCCAACCCCGGAATCGGAATCCGAACCCGATATCAAAAAGTCCACTTCCGGTCAAACTTCTTAAAAACCTTCAAATTTCTAACTTCAGCCAAATGACTCCAAAATGACCTACGGACCTCCAAATCCACTTTCGATCGCACTCCCAATACCAGAATCACCATACGGAGCTATTCCCAGACTCCGAATCCCAAATGGACATCGTTAACACTAAAATACACTTCATCCCAAATTTATGAAATTTACCCAAAAATGCTAACTTCCACAATAGGCGCTGAAATGCTCCCGGGTCATCCAAAACCCGATTCGGACATACGCCCAAGTCCAAAATCATTATACGAACATGCTGGAACCTTCAAATCCCGATTCCGGAGTCATTTATTCAAAAATCTAATCTAAGTCAGTTCTTCCAACTTCAAGCTTCTGAAATGAGAATTTTCTTTCCAAATCCAATCCGAACTTCCCAAATTTCGATTCCGACCATACATACAAGTCATAATACCCGAAGTGAAGCTACTCATGGCCTCAAATCGTCGAACGACGTGCTAGAGCTTAAAACGACCGGTCGGGTCGTTACACTCATACACTTGTGGCACCAGGTCTTGGCACACACTAGTAGACTTGTGGTTTTGGGTTTTATTGTATGATTTTGATTGCACTCAGTTTCTATCGTGTTATTTGTTTTAAATCCATTATTTCTCAAATCTTCAAATTCAAGGAAAGTTTAATTACTTGAAAAATTTTGTTAAAAAGAGAAAATCACGTTCCTAGTTCACAGTTGGCTTGCCTAGCAGCGGCATTAGGCGCCATCACGGCCTTTATAGAACGGAAAAGGGTCTAATCTATCCCTCTACTATGATAAATTGTTCAAATTGTCCCCCGTTATACTATTGGGCCAAAAAAGTCCCTATCGTCATACTATCCTAACAAATCTGCCCTTAGTTAGACGGAAGTGCCACGTGGCATCTCCTCATCAAACGATCCACCCCCAATTTAAAAAAAAACCATCCAATACTGACCCGCCCAAGTTAAGACCCGCTACCTAAAGGCAAAAAGAGAGACATAACTTAAAAATATGGAAAACCAGCATTGTTCTTCATCTTTATTGATATTTGCTCAAAATTTCCAACCCAACTTCTTTGAATCTTCACCAAATTTGTTATAATTTGAGATTTAAGCTCCCCAAGAGATCCCTAACAAAACACAATAACATCAATTAGAAATAGTTCACATTTTCGAAAACTTAATTTTCGAGCTAAGATTCAGAGCTTTCATCAATGGAGTTTTTAGCTCTTGCTTCACGTACCAGCTTTCCAACAATGTTCTAAAAAATACTTTCAACAAGAAACACAGACATCTCAACTCTTCCAAAATTTTAAATCCAGTGTCCAATTGATATGTCATCGTTCTCATCCTCTTCTTCTCCTTACTTTTCATCACCATATTCCCAAGAAATTACTGAATTGTGCGGAAGAAAATGGTTCGTCCGTAACTGTTTTTACATATATTATAAAATAAAGGAAAATTAGAAATCAGATGCCAATCAAAAACATTTAATTAAAATTTCAGAAAAATGATAAGAAGTGTAGAAGGAGCCATCGGAAACCAAAGTTCATCCGCAAAAGCTTTTGTAAGCAATCACAAATTCACAACAGACCCAGTTGGGTGTTCTTCAAGCTTTTCCAAATAGTCCAATAGTGATTTTAGTTTCCCTTCAACTATATTTTCCCAAATCAGTAATTGAATCAAAACTTAAGCATAACAAATGATTTTTCCAAACGATTCTAACAATAGGTAACCAACAAACCCAGATTTCTGATTTTGAATTTTAAATCTGAAAGTTTTCGGCTTAAAAAACGGAAATTAAAATCACCATAGGAAGTTAGATTACCAAAAATGATTACTTCCCCAACGCGATTATTAGAAATGGGTATAATTTGGTTTATAAATAGTGGGTCGCGGGTTATGGGTTTGGTGGGTTTCATGGAGCGGGTCGTCTCATATGTGCACAGATGTTAAAAGGGCACGGATGGATGCCGCGTGGCACTTCCGTCTAACTAAGGGCAGATTTGTTAAGATAGTATGACGGCAGGGACTTTTATGGCCCAATAGTATAACGGGGGACAATTTTGAACAATTTATCATAGTAGAAGGATAGATCAGACCCTTTTCCGTTTATAGAATTGGGTCATGGCAGTTTAAGTATGATAAGAAATGACTTGCATCTGAATAAGAACACTTAACTAAAGTCTAACAGATAAAAGAACAAAATTAAAATATCGAATAATAAAAATAAATTAGAGATAATGTAAGGACATTTATACAAAAAGATATGGATAAAA